GCATCACAGCCCAGGAGGGGATGGAGGAGGAAGGAGGGGGATGAGGAGGTCCCTGGAGAGACGTTCATGGACTTTCGAGGACCTCGAGAGATCTGCGGGCTGCCGATGCGGAGGAGGGGCGGAGGAGGAGGGGATGGAAGGAGGGGGGATGAACGCAATCTTCCAACACATTGACAAACACCAGAGCGGATTTTTTCCCAAGATTCCAGTCGCGGGGGGACCTCGCGGGGCCCAAGGACCGTAAAACAACGATTCGGGATGAAACACCAACCTCGGGGAAAGCGTCGGGACTTCTGGGGACCGCGTGTTCAACAACCAAGACGTGGAATGTCTGGGAGGAGGTCCTTCGAGGGACATCCAGAGACCTTCGGGGACCTCTAAAGGTCTTCGGGCCGCCAGTGCTGAGGAGAGATGATGGGGGAGGAAGAGGATGAGGAGAAAGAGCAGAAGGGGGCGCCACCTGGCCTGGCAAGGGCCTTCCGCCTTCCGTCTCCTGCGGCTGCCCCTTCCCCCCGAATACTTTTCCTGTGGCTCCAACCTCCTCCCTTCTCGCCCCTTCTCGCGCTGCTGCTGGTGCTCCTCCTCCTCCTCCTCCTCCTCCTCCTCCTCCTCCTGCTCGTCCTCCACCCACAGCGGCTTCGCGCCTTGCACGCCCCTGGCACGGATCCCATCACGGGATCGCTTCGCGGACACCCCAGTCCAAGTCCAAGTCCAAGTCCTGCTGTTTCTGCTCGTGCTCCCCCCCTGCCTCTGATCCAGTCCACCTTCTCCTCCTCCTCCTCGAGCCTTCCAAGCTCGGGAAGATGTCTGGGGACGCATCGTGCATGACGCGCAAGAGAAGCCGCCCGTCGCCGAGCTCCTCCACGCCGGAGGCGCCGTCGTCCACGACCTGGGCGTCGGGAACGGCGTGGGGCCGATCATTCACGCATTCCTGCGTATATGTATGCACGCGCATGTCTACAGGCGTGCACGGGCACGCGCATGCGCATACTTGTATGCCCGATTCTGGAAACCCCGAACCCAAATACGTTTACATCTCTTGGGGGTGCACCTTTTTCTTCCGCCGCCTTCCGCTGGCCTTCCGTCGGCTTCCGTCGGCGGCAGCGGCCTCGTTTTACTTCCGCGGACCTTCCGCCGCCTTCCGCCGAGGAAGAGATGACGATTCCTTCGATCCTCGAAGGCAAGGCTCTTCTTGGAACGCCTCACGTGGACTGGGCTGGACGTTTACACCCTCACACATTTGACTACGCATGCGTGTAAACATGTGCATTCATTCATAGACGAACATGTGTGCATGCACACGAACACTTGCACGCATGCGCATATGCACGTGCACGTATGCAGTACACATTTCTTGTGTACGTATGTTCACAACACCGTAATACTAGGTCGGCCCAAGACGGCCTGCAAACCTTCCAATATGACCTAATACGACCCAAACAAAATCACGAGAGGACCTCAATACGGCCCAACTGGCTTCCAAGACGGCGCCAAGACGACCCAAAAGAGCCCCAAAACGGCCCACTAGACTAGCAAGATGGCCGTAACGGGCCCCAAGACGGGCGAGATAACCCCACAAGGCGGATACCATTTTACCAGACGGCCCCAGGAGCCTTAAAGAGGCCCCGAGACGCCACCAAGACGCTCCCAAGAGCCCCCGAGGGGCATCAAAGATGCCCCCAGGAAGCCCCCCTCAGAGGCTCTTATGGGGAGGAGGAGAGACATGTATACTGACATGACAAGCAGTGGTCCTCATCCTCAGTTTCTTCTTTGTACCCGACTGACCCACCAGGAAAGTGGGACGCAACTTTTCCAGGGGCGAAAGGAGAAAAGCGAAGGGGCGAAGCCTACACTCCTATAATCCGCCACCGCGCCCACCTGTCACTTTGAAGTTCGGCATTTTCGTTTCGGTGTTTTGGTGTTGGCCCTGTAGCTCACGCGCGTGCAGTTCGCACCACGAGCAAAGTGAAAGGAGATCGCGATCAGGAATAACAAAAACCGACCGCACGAGGGAGAATGAGCAGCGCGATCGCCAAATCTAGTTGTCACGAGCGCGTCAGCTATTTAGAACCCTGGCCTATGCCAGAAGTAACAAACACAGGGCCACAAGGGGGGGAAGACGGAGAGAAGGACAAATCACTGAGACAAGGAAGACTGGCAATGTCGCTGTGTGCGTACCCCCACATGGCCCAACCGACTATCAATCTAATTCGGCGTCGCAGAGCGTCATGCAACTAAGCGGAAGGACAATGCGTCACACAGCGACTTAACAAGCGGACGGACAATGCACAATACAAAACGCCAGCTGCAACCCATGCGGCGACGCGGCTGGTGGACCCATGCCTGGAACTCTATCGCGCAGGAGGCGGAAGCAGGACGGAGAGAGGAGAAGAAAACACGCGGGACGAATCCACGGCAGGAGTAGGCAATACTGGCAAGCTGGCTGGGCGATCAGTGCAATCCCTCACCGATATGTGGACATGCATGCCTCCGTGGGTGAGGCACGGCAGTGCCCCGCCAACCTCGGAAGGCCGAGCCCATGCGGCGAGACGGCGAGCCCCGGACGGCGCGAAGGCGAGCCCGTGGGCTCGGCCCACCGCGGCCGTGAACTGAGCCCACACACGCGGCCCGTGCGCATGATTACCCAATTGGTCGGAAGAAGTAGGTAGAAACATGAAGTAGGAAGGCGTTGGAAATAGATTGGGTTTCCGCGCGCCTCCTGAAGAGGAAGGAAGGGGGAAGACCACTCGACTCTTGAAGTAGGACGGCGCTGAAAGTAGATTGGAATCTGGGAATCCAAACATACCTACTTTCAACGACCGATGGGTAAAGGGAGGGGCGGGCAACTAGGAGGGAGGAGGGGAGGCGAACAAGAACAGCACAAAGACCACATCCGATTCGACTGAAGGCTGGCAGACAAGAGGAGTGGTGCCGTGCACCTGAGAGGGAAGCCTGGAGTCCGCCGCCACGGGCCAGGGGAACTCCCGCACAAGCCGAGCCCCACAAACGGTGCCACCGCGCGCTGCCTCAGCAACACGCCGAGGCAACACGCTGCGGCCTCATTAGCCAGGCTCGCGATCAGCAAGCCGCTCGACCAAGGGAGGTGAGGCGGAGGAGGCGAGGAGGAGGAGGCGAGGAGAGAAGATCGACGCGGAGGGGAGGAGGAGTGCACTAGGAGGAGGGGAGGAGGGGAGGTGAGGCGCGAGGAGGCGCGAGGAGAGGAGGTGAGGCGCGAGGAGGCGAGAAGAGGAGGCGGAGAAGATCGACGCGATGGGAAGAGGGGAGGTGAGGCGGAGAAGGCGAGGAGAGAAGACCGACGTTCCGCGGCTCACCTACGGCACCGCCGGGCGGAGCCTCAGCGCCAACCGCCCCAGGCGCGGCGCCAACGCCAGACGCGCTGCTCGCCGCACTGCGCGACCCTCTCCTGGACGCCAGAAGTGTACAAAAATGCCAAGCGCTGTCTGGTAGGGTCTACGTAATCTTCGAAGGGCGCCCCCCATCCTCTACGCACAGCACAGACCTCTGCATGTATCCCCCCCTTCCCGAGGGCACGATCCCTCGCTACAAAATTAAGAGCTGGGCCCCCGAGGTCATCCAAAGGCCACGAGCTCGCGTACGAACGTTGGATCCGCGCATCTGCGGCCCCGAGGCCAAGATCCTTTGCAAAAACTCTGGGTCCGTGCTGCCGAGCTTTCAAGACTGCGAAGGCAGGCAAACAAGGCCGCCAAGATGGCACAACATGCCTTCAAGGAGGCCCACAGCGACCCCAAATGACTTCAAGACGGCCAAGAGCCCCCTGTAGATGGCCAAAGAGGGCCACAACATGACCCCCACTAGGGCATGTAAAAACCACTAACATCACATCACATCACACCACTATCTACCACACTATGTCTGTATGGATGGATGGATGCATGTATGTATGTACAACAGAAGGTTCATCTGCCATCGCTGCCGTCCTCAATCAGGCGTAGCAGCAAATAAACCAGTCCTAGCAACATGTGAACTAAATCAACCAACATACGTACTAGATAACCCCAGCCCGCTTTCACTCCAGGAACGTGCAGACTAGTCCCCCATTGCGTCCACAGTCCCTTTGCTGAGCTCGTCATGCAGCTCATTCATCACATCTGCCTCCATGTTCTGCTTCTCCTTTTGCGCCGCCTCCTCCAGCTTACGCAACATGTCAGCCTTCATCCTGGCCTTCATCTCTTCTCGCGTCTCTGGGGCTGTGGTGGTCTCGGCCGCGAGCTCCTTCAGGAACTCATCCCTCGCCATGCTCTCGACCTCAGCGGGGGTCTCCGTGGGCGTGGTGATGTCTGAAGTATCCTTGAGGAGTTCCTCCCTCATCCGCTTTGCCTTCTCGGCAAGTGTTTCTGCGGGCGTGGTGCTGACAGACATCGATTTCAGGAACTCATCCCTCGTCTCTCTCTCCAGCTCGACGGGGCCTCTGGGGCAGTGTAGCTGGCTGTCATTGCCTTCACGAGCTCTTCCCTTATCCTGCTCTCAGCCTCGGCTGGGGTCTCTGCGTGCGTGGTGCTGATGGACACCTCCTTCAGAAGCTCCTCGCTAATCTTGTTGGCGACATTGGCAGGGCTCTCCAGGTGCGCGGTGCTGACGGACATCTCCTTCAGAAGCTCCTCGCTGATCTCGTCCGCCACGTCGGCAAGGGACTCGGCGCGCGTGGCAGAAGCGGACCTGTCCTGAAGAGGAAGCTCCTTCTTGATCCTAACGCGAAAGAGAGGCGACCACGACATCGCTCGAGTTACCCGTGCACTCCGTGACAGGACGCGGCAGAGACGGACCGGTGACTTTATGTACATCAACATCCCAGAAGTAAAAAGGCACCGGCGAGGGAAAGAGCCACCGGCTTAAAAACCCAGCCGGCCTGACATATTAAAAACGCCGGTCTTCAGCGACACCCTGTGTTTTTGGAGAGGGCGTTTGGATTCCTCCGCCTCCTCTGGGGACAGCACCTCGCCCGTGGAGATCGTGGGCATGGGCTCCAGACCCACCACCTGCTTGTCCACGGGTTGAACAGGGACCGACCGTCCTGGCATTCCTATAGTCCTACCACGACATGGTCTTAGAACCCAAGCATGTTCTAATTAAAAAATAAGGTTCTTCCAACCGAAGCCCGATGTGATGAACCAAGACGGTCCCAATCAGAAACGTTCTGAGAACATGGCGTGGGAACCACAAGAGGTCCTCAGACCATTGCTTGGTAGGGCTATAGGCGAGCCAGGTCGCTTCGCCACTCCCTGAACGGGGTGGACCGCGTCGCCCCGCTCTGGGGCGGGCTCGCCGGCCCCGCCCCCCAGCGGGCGGGGCGGCCTCGGCGGGCTCGGCGGGCGCCGCCCTGCTCGTCGGCGGGCCGGCCGGCGCCGCCGCCCTCCCCGGCAGACCCCGCTGCCGAGCCGCGCTGCTCCTCGGCGGGCCGGGAGGAGTTCTGCTCTGCTCCTGCTGCAGGGCCTCGCGCTCGGCCTTCGGCTCGGCCGCCCGCTCCGGCGCCTCGCTCTCGGCCCTCGGCGTCTCCAGCTCGGCCGACTGCTTCGAGGCGTCGTTCTCGGCCTTCGGCTTCTCCAGCTCGGCCTTCAGCCGGTCGGCCTCCGAGGTGGCGTCGGGATCTGGGCTGGCCTCCAAAATTGCCCCCGCGACGGTGCCCTCCCGGGCCGCGTCGTGGGGCGCCTGCTGAGACGCATCCTCATGCTCCTCGGTCAGGCTCGTCTCGACACCGCCCTCGTCGACATAGGGAAGCGGCTCATCCTCGCCAGCAGCGAGCTTCGCATCCACCTCGGGTAAGGGCAGGCTCCTCTCCGCAGCGGCATCTGCGACGCCCTCTGCAGCCACGTGCTCCTCGGGCGCTGGGGGCTCCAAATCGGATGCGTTCTCCGCGGCAATTTCCGTGGCTCTCTTCGCGGTCGAGCCCTCCACGCGCCTGCCCACGAGCCCGTCGCCATCCCTCCCGGTGTTAAAAATCGAACCCTCCCGAACGGGCCCAATAACAAACTGAGGTGTTCGACTCGTCCGGCCCAGGCACCGCATAGGTGTCCGCGTCGATCTCCTCGGTGGAAGCCTTCTGGGGCGCCAGGGGTTCCATATCGGATGCGGTCTCCGCGGCGCTCTCATAAGTCAAGGCCTCCTCGGATTCGTTCTCCGCAGCGGCATCGTCAGACAACACGGCCTCCGTTGTCGAGGCCTCCGCTGTGTCCTGGGTCGGGATCGCGAAGCGCGAGGTGGACGCGGGGACCATGCCGTCCCAATCGCCGTCGAAATAGGTTTCATCACATTCATAGTCATATCTTCCACTGGCTTCTTCATGTAGCCGCGTTGGTCAATCACCTTTTGCGAATGCAACGCAGCGCATGGTCTGGTGCAGCCCGCCTTGATGCTGTGATGAAGACGTTCCTGCACCTCCCTGAAGGTAGAGGCCAATTCATCAAGCGCCACCTTGATATCGATTCCTCCAATCTCAGCCATCACCGCGTCGAAGCAAGCCGAGCCCTCTTCCGCGTCAGTGCAAGAGGGTGCCGCCGTCGACGTTATCGTCGTCATGTCGGGCCTCCACTCTTGGCAGGGCTCGGGGCAGCCGACCTTGCCCTGCCTGTGGAGCTCGGCCTGGATCTCCCTGTCGGTGGACTCGTGGCTGAGGCCGGGGTAACAATCCTGGTACCCCCCGAACTCGGAGTCCCTCAGCCACTGGATGGAGATGGAGCGCCAATCACCCGTGGTCGTGTTGCCACAGCTCTGGGGCGGAGCAAGCACGACCTCCTCGCCGCTTATCTCCCGGCCATTTGTTGACTCGACCTCGAGCAAGTCGGTGTCGTCCTGCTTCGCTGCGTAGGTCGCTGGCGCATGCTCGCAGGGCTTCTTGCACTCGGCCTTCCCGAGGGAGTGCAGGATCATCTGGACGTCCTCGAAGCTGGTATCGCTGGACAGGCCAGGGTACCACTCCGGGTGCCTCGCGAACCCGGACTCGCGCAGCCACGTGACCGAGTGGTGGCACAGGCTGCCCTCCGAAGCGTCCTCGCAACCGGCGTCGAGCGCGCCAGCGGCTGGGCCGGAAGCCTGCGCGGGCATGTCCCTGGCCCTCCTCGGCGCCGAGGTGCTGTCCACATCACCTCCTCGAGCTCGCCGCCGCCGATAGTGGGGGTCGCTAGGGCGACCTATAGCTCCTTCGATGATGAATCCAGTAGCTAGATCGATGGTACAATCGATCGTGACATCAGTCGTGAGATCGATGGTCAGATCGATCGTGGGACCCAGTCTTTCCGTACCCATTCGTTCGTGCAGCGCCGAAGCCGTGGGACTGCGAGTTGAGGGCCTTGCCGGCGCCCGTGTGGAGGAGCCCCAGCGCGGGCGGGCGGCGTTCGGCGTGGTCCATGGGGGCAAGGGCGGCGGGCACCGGGCCGAGCCGAGCGGGTGGAGCAGCGACTGGACGTCCTCGGAAGGTCGGCGCTACGGGTGCCCTCGAGGTTCGATCCTCGAGGCTCGGTCCTCGATCTTCGATCCTCCTCCTCCTCCTCGGCCTCCTCCTCCTCCTCCTCCTCCTCCTCCTCCTCCTCCTCCTCCCCCTCCTCCTCCTTCTCCTCCTCATCCTCCTCCTCCCCCTACTCCTCCTCCTCCTCCTCCTGGCCCGCGTCGCCGGGAAACCAATCCGGGTGTTGCCTGGCGCCTTTGTCCGTGGCCCACACGAGCGCGCTGTGGCACCACTCGCCTGGGATCGCGTCGCGGCACCTGGCGGCGGGAGACCGAGAGGTCATACTGACCTGGAGCGCCAGGCAATCACGAAGAAGCAGGAGCAAGGTCACGAGCGGCACCATGGCGGCCACGCTCTGGCAGAGTTACGGAGGGGCACGCGGTTTGCTTGAGCCAAGCTTGAGCCAAAATGGCTACGGATGCATGTATGTATGCATGTATGCATGCATGTATGCATGTATGGATGCATGTATGTATGCATGCATGCATGCATGCATGTATGTATATATGTATGTATGCATGTATGCATGTATGCATGTATGCATGTATGCATGTATGCATGTATGCATGTATGCATGTATGCATGTATGTATGTATGTATGTATGTATGTATGTATGTATGTATGTATGTATGTATGTATGTGTGTACTTATGTATGCATGTATGCATGTATGTATGTATGCATGCATGAATGTAGGTGTGTAAATGTATATGCATGTGCGTATGTACGTATGTATGTATGCACGTTCGTAGTATGTATATATGTGTATATATGTGTAAACATATATGCATGTATGCATGCCTACAGGTACGTATGTATGCATGCATGTGTGTCTGTATATATGCATGCATATGCATATTTATATACCTATATATATAAATATATATAGGTATATACACATGCATGCATGCATGCACGCATACATTTACATATATACATATGCATGTACATATGTATGCATGCATGTATGTATGTATGCATGTATGTATGTATGTATGTATACATGTTTGTATGCATGCACGTTTGTATGCATGTCGGTATGCATGCATGTATGTTTGTATGTTTGTATTCCTATGTGTGCATGTGTGCATGCATGCATGTACGTCTGTATGTATGCATGTGTGTATCTCTCTCTCTCTATATATATATATATACAGATATACGTGTAATAGTTCATTCTCATGTTTCTGGTACCTTCGCTGTTTCGGGCTTCCTGCAGCTCTGGCCTTCATGGCCCCAATACGGCCGAAGAAAGGGCTCCGAATGGCCAAGTAATCCACCAAGACGGCCCCAAGACACCCCAAGAAGGCCCCTAGACGACCCAAGATGGCCCCCAAGAGAACCCCAATCTGGCCAAAGAGGGACTCTGGACCCAAGACGGCCTTCGAGAGCCCCTCGGCGGTCCAAGGAGACGGCCCAAGAGAGCCGCAACACGGCCCAAAAGGACCCCAAGACTGCCCAACGTGGCCCACGGGAGCCCCCAAACTGCACCACAGGAGCTCAAGAAAGGACTGAAAAAAGGGAGGCAGACGACGGGGACGAGAAGATAACCCTCAACACGACGCAGAAGAGTGTTTCACATGTACGGCTCTCCCAAGCCTCGGGGCAGGAGGTGTCACACGTTGCGCCCCCACCGAACAGTCGCCACCAAAATTGCTGGGCTGGCACTGTGGCGGGACTTGCCGCAGGCAACTGGATAGATGTGAACGTGCATGTAAATGTACCTGAGCTCTGGTGCATGTAACTGTACCTGAACCCTGTGAACGAGCAGATCTGTTGTGTGCATGAGCACACATACGCCATGTTGTTGGTAGACGTATTTGCGTCTGCACATACACATCCATCATGATGGCTGATGTTGCCTCCTGCTAAGCGCTGCGTTATCGATCGTGTGTCCTGATGCCTCCATCCGTTTCGACATATGTACACATATGTCATGTGTACACGCACAGGTGCCTCTCCACGGCCGTGTTTCCCCCCACGAACACGCAAACGACACTCCGACCACAAATGTATGCGCTTGCTGCAGGCCCTCGCGAACACGGACCTCCACGAAGGGATGTGCGCCGCGCGACGCGCGAACCGCGGCGGGCGCGGGTCGCGGGCGGGCTGGAAGCGGCGCCAACCTCCGCGGGCGCGGGCCACGGGCGGCGGGGGTCGCGGCGGGCCCTGGGTCGCCGTGGGCGCGGCGCGGGTGGCGGGCCGACGACGTCAAGAGAAGGCACGCCAACAGCAGAAGCACTCCGCACCGCGGAGCCCCAGCTCAGCCACGCACCTGGGGACCGTCCGAGACGGTTCGGTGCGGCCCCTCGCCGTGATGCGGACCATGGCGCGCGCTTGCGGGCGCGCGAGCGCTTTCATTCGCGCCCGCTCGGTCCCCAGAGCTCCGCGGGACCGGAGTGGGGCCTGCGATGCTGGAGTGTGTGCGCCCGCCGCCCTGCGATCTTTCGCGACTCCAAGGGGCTCGGTGGGAGAGCAAAAATACAGACTCTGCTGCTCCTTGGACCTCTCCCTGGGTGCCTTTCTGAGCAGGATCTCGGGGAGACTCCAGCTGTGGCGACGAGGGCTCTCTGGGACGAGCAGCGGCATCGGCACCTTTCCCTCCTCTGATTCGGGGGCCGAGCCCGCGGCCCAGTCGAGCGAGTTGACCCACTCCAGCAGGATCGACGCGTCGATGTCCGCCATGGGCCTTCGAGCGCCGCTCTGCGGGGCCCCTCGAACATGGGCGAGGGCGAGCCGACTGGCCCACGACCTCCAGCCAAAGAGGCAATATGCAGGAGGAAGGGGAGGGTGCGAAAGGGAGGGGAGGTGGAGATACAGTCGAGTGGGTGCGCGAGGGGCGCGGGAGGGAGGGAGAGGTGTGGATGATGACGATGATGATGGTGATGATGATGATGATGATGACGATGCTGATGATGACGATGTTGATGACGATGCTGATGATGACGATGCTGATTGTGATGATGATGACGATCATGCTGATGATGATCATGCTGATGATGATTGATATGGGGGTGCTGATGATACTGATGATGATGATGCTGATTATGCTGCTGATGATGCTGCTGCTGATGATGACCATGACGATTCTGACGATGCTGATACGGATGCTGATGCTGATGATGATGATTGATGATGCTGATGATGATGCTGCTGCTGATGTTGGTGGTGACGGTGGCGGTGATGATGGTGATGATTATGATGCTGCGGCTGCTGATGATAATGATGATGCTGCTGCTGATGATAATGATGATGCTGAGGAGGAGGGAGGGTGGGTGAGGAGCATAATTAGGGTGAGAAGGATAAGCAGGAAGAGATGACGCCGAGGAAGCGATCGACGAGGAAGAAAGAAACGAGAACGCGGATGAAGACAGGAATTAGGAGGACGAGAGACTGGGCTGGAGCTGGATGGACCGCAAAGAGGGACGATGATCAGAATGAGGGCTTTCCATCCCCCCACTACCCTCCAACTTCGCACTTCCCCATCACCTCTGCAACCCCTTGGGGGCGGAAGCGAACGGGGAGCGGAGGAGAGCGCGTGCATATATATATATATGTATATATATACATGTATATATATAAATATATGTTTACGTGCAAATTTACACATACTCACATCTCTCGCTCTCACCCTTTCTCTCTCTCTCTTTTTTTTTTTTTTTCTTTATCTCTCTCTCTCTCTCTATATATATATATATATGCATATAAAAATATTTACATACATGTGTTAGCCAGCGTGGGCCCCAAACAACGTGTTTCTAGCAACATGGCAACGCAAAGCAGCGCGAATCAACACAGAGCAAGGCAAACCAACGCAATGCAACGCAATACAATGCAACTCAATGCAACGCAATAAAGCATTTAAAATCAAGGCAAGGTAATGCACATTGATGCAACGCAATGCCATGTATAGCTATGCAAAGCAAGGTAAAACCAAACAAGACAAAACTATACACACCAATGCCACGCAATGAAAAACAACGCAATGAAAAACAAAGCAATGCATAGTAAGTGTAAGTCCGAGCAGGCAAGCATTGTCACGTCGGCGACGAGCGGCGACAAGGCGGCGACAGCGATTACATAGCCGCCACACACGGCCGCCACATAGCCGCCACACACACGCGGTTCCTCCTTCCAGAAGTGAGAGCCCCTAGTTACTAACACTGTTTGGGGAAAATCGGCAGAGAATGAGAGAGAGAGATGTTTATAGAAAACAAACAAATTCGATGCATGTTTTTTGATTACCGGGCGCCCAGAAATCCCGATGATCCTGATTTCTTGGGGCCAGCCTTTAATCCTGAGTAGTATTCGACGGTCCTGGGGCCTGGCGAGGGTCCCTGGGGGCGAAAACGGCGAAACACTTCCACACTGTTTTCTATAATACGTTGCAGGTCATGGGGCGGCGACGACGGACGGTGCCCTGATGACTGCGACGCCGACGACGACGACAACGACGAGCGCCGCGCCGCGCGCTGGGTCGCCTCTTCTCGGCGCGGGTGGGGAATCGCTCCCGCGCGGGGGGGGGCTCCCCGAGCTTCGAGGCGGAGGTGGCCCAGAGGAGCCGCGGCTGCTGGTCTGGCCGGCGGCCGCGCGGCCTCTCAGGAGCACAGCGCCTCCACGAACGCCTCCACCTCGGAGGTGCGTCCCCCCGCCCTCAACCTGGTCCTCGTCGTCGCCGGCGGAGATGGAGCACCACACGTTTTGCATGACTGCTGGTGAAGCGTCTGGTGCTTCCTCTCAACACGTTTTTTTGTTTGCTTTGTTTTGTATTGAAGTTTGTTTTGTTTGTTTGTCCGTGCGCTGGCATTCAGTAAATCTGCTATCACCACTGGTAGGCATAACTTGCTGGTTGTAACTATTAATGCCACTTGGCCACCAACATTCATAAATGTGATGCTACACCTCCGCCGCCGCCGCCGTCGCCGTTGCCGTTGTCGTCGTCGCCGTTGTCATCGTCCTCATCGTCGTCGCCGTCGCAGTCGCCGCCGCCGCCGCCGTCGCCGTCGCCGTCGCCGCCGCCGCCGTCGCCGTCGCCGTCGCCGTCGCCGTCGCCGTCGCCGCCGCCGCCGCCGCCGCCGCGGCCACCGTCGTCGTCGTCGTCGGCGTCGTCGACGTCGTCGTCGTCGTCGTCGACGTCCTCGTCGCCGTCGTTCTTGTCGACGTCGTCCTGGGACTGTGGGGCCAAAACTGCAGCAAAAGCCAGCCCTCTGCCTTCTTAGCGACAGAATATGCCTGGGCCTCTGGAGGTCCCCGGAAGAAAACCAAAAACGTCCAGCAACCTCGGTCCTGAAACTTCGATCGTCATTCCTACAGGAGTCTTGTTGAATTCATGCCTGAAAGATAACCATTGTTGATCCCACCTCTGGTGCACCTTAAGAATCTCGCTCTCGGCCTGGACTTCTTGGGGATCGCGCTATCTCCAGAGACTTCCTCGCGATTCATGCTGGACTGACGCTTCAACGAACCGCCCGCTCAACCTGGCCGTCTGGGCCCGCCCGCCCGACCCTGCCGTTAGGGTTCGCCCGCCATGCCCGTCCGTGTAGTTCTGCCGATGGTTTTCATGCGCATACCCCCTCCTGCTAACCTCTCTCGTGCTCCATTATTCTCCCTCTCCCTTGCACCTTGCTTCCTCCCTCTCTCCCTTTCTGCTCTCATTTCCTTGTCGCTATTTTTTTTTCGTGTCTCCCTCCTCTTCCTGTTTTAGGGGCTGCGCCAACTACATACGGCAGGTGAGGAAGATATACCGCCACGGGGGGGTACGATCGAAGACGAAGAGGGCGGGTATCGAGGGTTCGGGAGAGACATGATGATTGACGCGCGAGCAGATAAGAGCGAACGAACTTAGAATGATTGTTGACTTTCCATTTCTAAAGCATAGCCATTGTTGATTCCCCCTTCGGCGAACATGGTGCTTTTTCAGTTGAAGTGTCCCTGCCGGAGCTCGTACCCTTTATTCTATAAGAGAAAATTTTGAGCCTCAGAGTGCGTTGTTGGTCCCCAGTTGCCACAGCAACGGCTCCCGCCTGATAGTTCTTCACAGTTTATTGCAAATCGTGCTTTGGCATTGGTTGTTCTTACCATCTATCCAAGCACTGCGCTCTCGCGCAGGCTTTCCTCGCAATTTACTGCGAAGCCGCGCCGTCGACACTCAAGAATCACGCTCTCGCTGTCAGCTTCCTCACGATTTCCTTGGGAATCGCGCTATCTCTGAGACTTCCTCGCGACTCATGCAAGACTACAGTTGGGGCGCTGACCCAGGGAACCCTAAACAAGGAACGAGGCCACTGTCTCCCCATGAGTTAAGCTTCGATTTCCCATCGAAAACCTAAGGAACGCCCAAGGCAAACTGTAAAACAGCGAAGGAACACGGAGCCCCTCCCCAACGAAAAGGGTTCCTTCGTCAGCGCCCCGACTGTAACGCTTCCGCGACCTGCCCGCTCGACCTGGCCGTCCCGACCCCGGACGTCCGGGTCCGCCCGCCGGACCCGCCCATTTGGCCCTGCCGCTTCTTCTCCTGCTCCTGACCCCCCTCCTGCTCGTTGACCTAAGGAACCCTAAATAAGGAACGAGGCAATTTTTTTCATAAGTTAACCTTCGACTTCCCATCGAAAGCTTAAGGGAAACCTTGGGCAAGGTGTGGAACAATTAAGGAACACGGAGCCCCTCCCAAACGAGAAGGGTTCCTTCTTCAGCGCCCCCACCGTATCTCTCGTGTTTCCTGAAAGCAGCTGTGGCGAACTCCGAGCAGTCCCTGGCTGATTCCTATGTGAGCTGGAGAACTTTTTGTATACTCAGCCCTCATCGAGGTCAACGGCTCAGAATTGGCGGTCGGGGACCTGAGCCGACCAGCGCAGCGACGCCGAGGAGCTCGACGGCAAGCGACCGAGGCGTCGCGGTCCGCGGAACCCTCGGCGGCCGTCGGATAATACGAAGCCAAGACCAAGACAACATCGGACGGGGACAAGCCGGGGATCTCTGAGATGTGGCGTTTCTGGAAGTCGTGTCGGGCGTTCGAGAGCGCTTTCGAGAGCTCCGAGAGCGTTGCGGAACGTTCTGGGCCGATGTATCCCGGTGCTGGGCCCGCCCGATCGTAGGCCTTCGTCGGTCCAGGCTGTGGCGCAGAAATCGTCGCCATCTGGGGAACACACAATGACATGAACATGTAAGCCGACGTGGACCCTGAACAGTGTGTCTCTAGCAATGCATAGTGTCCAGTTTTTTTCACATATAGACCTGGACATGATGCAATCGATGTTGTGCAGACTATGTCGGACAACCGCTGTTGCGCAGTGAAATCGCGACGTATAGAATGTACATTTTATGATGTGCAATCGATGTGGATTAATCTACGCGTTGTAATCTACGAGGCGCAATGTATATTGTGCAATATGTGGAGTATCATCGATATTGTGCACTCTGTCTGGTGCGCCCTATTTGGTTCAGTATCTGTGATGCAACCAAATGTGCCACAACATATGTTCTGCACTCAATGCTGTGTGGTGTAATATATTTGGAACAGCACATGTAGTGCAAAACCAGTGTTGCGATCAATGTGGCGTACCTTATGTGAATCAATCTATGTTGTACAGCAACTGCTGTGCAATCTATGTGGTGCAATATACGATGTGCAACTTAGGTCGTGTGGTCGTGCAATGTATGTTGTGAGCGATCAAAAAGCGCGCCACAGGCGCGAAAAACAAATCGTGCCATCTATGTGCTGCGATCTGTGTGCGGCAATCTATGCGGTGCAACCCAAGTGGTACAATCTATGCGGTGCAATTCACTTTGACAGTCTTGAAGCTGTCCTCTCCACTGCTCGTGCAAACATCCCACCCTCCCACCCGCAACTTGGTCGCAAGACCTCTTAAGACAAGACCGTGACGGTAGGTACCACATGGCACTTGGCCACGACACCGACGCCGACGACGACAGCGACAACGACGACGACGGCGCCGCCGACACCGACTACGACGACACCGACGACGTCTCCAACGACTTCGACGACGACAACGACGACGACGACACCGACGACGACGCCGACGACGACGATGACGACGACGACGCCGACGCCGACGACGCCGACGACGACGACGACGAAGACAACGACGACGACGACAACAACGTCGCCAACAAAGACGACGATGAGGGAGGAGGGAGGACGACGACGGCGATAACGACGACAACGACGAGGGAAAGGGAGGACGGCGACGACGCGAACGACGAAGAAGGAGGAAGGACGGCGACGCAGACGACGACAACGACGTGGGAGGAGGGAAGACGACGACGACAACGACGACGACGACGACGACGGCGACGAAATAGGAGGGACGGCGACGAGACGCCGACGACGGACGACGACGACGACGAGGACGACGAGGGAGGAGGATGAAGGACGACCACGGCGACAACGACGACGGAAACGACCACGACGCCAAAGAGGACGACGACGACGAACACGAGGAAAGACAGAGGACGACGTGGGCGACGACGACGACGACGCGGGAGGAGGGAAGACGGCGACGACGACGACGACGACGACGCAAGAGCGCGCGCGCACGCTTTTGTTGAAAATCCGTGTTGCGAAACCTTGTGCTTTTGTAGGTTTTTTGGGCGCACGATTTTGGAATCCTTCCGAAACCGATGGGTTTTGAAGGATTTCGGCATACGCGCGCGACGACGCGCGCGTCTGTACTTCGCCCCATTTTTTGCAGAGGATTCTCGCGACGGCACACGCGCAAGGGCGTTCGACAGATTTCGACATGCGCGCGCGCGAAGCCCGTTTGGTAGCATTTTGTGAACATCTTGAAAAACCAATGGTTTTTCCTAAGATTTCGCAAGAGCTCGCGCGGAAGCTTTTTTAGCAAATCAGTGTTGCGAAACCCTGTGTTTTTGTATGTTTTTTGGAAGCTCGATTGCGAAATCCTTCCGACACCGAAGGTTTTTGAAGGATTTCGGCATGCGCGCGCGACGACGCGCGCGTGTGCACTTCGTCTAATTTTTTGCAAGGGATTCGTGAAAAAGTGTTATGTTAGAACAAAACATGTCACCGCATAGTGTTTTTTATAAGGGACCCTCAGGGGGGGGATACCGGTTGGCCTGGGACATTGTTATTTCATATTTAGGATGGACATGTGGTCAGAATCCTATTTGATTTACATACCCGAAAGGGGGAGTGATAACGCCGGGGGGGGAGATCCTATTCTGTTTTAAGAAAGGAGAATCTAAGTGGTCGTGTAATCTATGTGGTGCAATTAATTTCTGTTCGCAGTGAGTTGTCCACTCCACTGCTCGCGCAAACATCCCACCCACCCACCCGCAACTTGGTTTGCAAAATCTCTTCAGACCGTGACGGTGGGTACCACATGGCACTTGGCAACAACAGCGACGCCGACGACGACAGCGACAGCGACGATGACGACGCCGCCGACAACGACTACGACGACACCGACGACGTCTCCAACGACTTCGACGACGCCGACAACGACGACGACGACGACGACACCGACGACGACGACGACACTGACGCCGACGCCGACGACGATGACAACGACGACGACGATGACGACGCCGACGACGATGATAACGACGACACCGACGACGACGACGACGTTAACGACGCCGACGACGACGACGACGACGACGGCGGCGACGACTACGACGCCGACGACGACGACGACGAAGACGACAACGACGCCGACGCCGACGCCGACGACGACGACGTCGCCAACGAAGTCAACGAGGAAGGAGGGAGGACGACGACGGCGACAACGACGACAACGACGAGGGAGGAGGGAGGACGGCGACGACGCGAACGACGAAGAAGGAGGAAGGACGGCGACGCCGACGACGGCAACGACGAGGGAGGAGAGAAAGACGACGACGACGACGACGACGACGACGACGACGGCGACGAAATAGGAGGGACGACGACGAGACGCCGACGACGGACGACGACGACGACGAGGGAGGAGGAGGAAGGACGACCACGGCGACAACGACGACGGAAACGACCACGACGCCAAAGAGGACGACGACGACGAACACGAGGAAAGACAGAGGACGACGTAGGCGACGACGACGACGACAACGACGCGGGAGGAGCGAGGACGGCGAAGACGACGACGACGACGCAAGAGCGCGCGCGCACGCTTTTGTTGAAAATCCGTGTTGCGAAACCGTGGGTTTTTGTAGGTTTTTTGGGCGCACGATTTTGAAATCCTTCCGAAACCGATGGGTTTTGAAGGTTTTCGGCATACGCGCGCGACGACGCGCGCGTCTGCATTTCGTCCCATTTTTTGCAAGGGATTCTCGCGACGGCACACGCGCAGGGGCGTTCGACAGATTTCGACATGAGCGCGCGCGAAGCCCGTGTGGTAGTATTTTGTGTAAATCTTGAAAAACCTATGGTTTTTTTTTTTTCCTAAGATTTCGCAAGAGCTCGCGCGGAAGTTTTTTTAGCAAATCAGTGTTGCGAAATCCTGTGTTTTTGTATGTTTTTTGGAAACTCGATTGCGAAGTCCTTCTGACACCGAAGGTTTTTGGAGGATTTCGGCATGCGCGCGCGACGGCGCGCGCGTGTGCACTTCGTCACATTTTTTGCAAGGGATTCGTGAACAAGTGTTATGTTAGAACAAAAGATGTCCTCGCGTATTGTTTTCTACAAGGGAACCTCAGGGGGGTCGATACCGGCCCCCCTGGGATAGTGCAAATTCATATTTCGGATGGACATGTGGTCATAATCATATATGATATATCCGAAAGGGGGGGCGATAACGCCGGGGGGGGGTAGAGTCTATTCTCTTTTTAGAAAGGAGAATCAAGGGGTGCGCCGCAGGCGCGATCCTTTCTGTTCGTGCAATACATGTGGTGCAATCTAAAGGCGGCGACGGGCGGCGACGCGGCGGCGACGAGGCGGCGATGGGGTGGCGACGGCGGCCACGTAGCCGACAGTCCGAAGTCACAGCCCAGACGACGGGTGGCGACGAGGCGGCGACGGGGCGGCCACGGCGGCCACATAGCCGCCAGACCGAAAACACGGCCCAGTTCCGTATAACAGAAGTAAGAACCCTTAAATGCAAACACTGCTTCGGGAATAAGGTTTCGGAGGTTCGCGAAAATATCTTGGATCGGCGCTGGACCCCCTTCCCTGGCGCGCGGAACGCGCCAGGGACTGCGCCGGAGGTGCCAGGAAGGGGGTCCAGCGCCGATCCAAGAAATCCATGCGTCCGACAATTGATGTTTATGTCATGTTTTTTGTTCCTCGACTCGTGGTCGTGGTCGTCGTTGCGGTCGCCGTCGCCCCGCAGGCCGCAAGGCCGCGCGGGCCAGCCAGACGCCAGGGCCCCCGCCCTGCCCTGCAGCAGCTGCCGCGCCACGCCGCGGCGCCTCGGCAATGACGACGACGACGACCACAGCGGCGACGACGACGCTGCCGACGCCGACGCCGACGCCGACGACGACGCCGACGCCGACGCCGACGCCGCCGCCGACGCCGACGCCGACGCGAACGCCGACGCCAACGCCGACGCCGACGACGACGACGACGGCAACGGCCGCAGCGACGACACCGGGGACGACGACCACGGCGGCGACGACAATGCCGACGACGATCACGACGATGACGCCGACGCCTCCAGACAGTGGCAACGCTGGCGGCGGACCGAGCACGCCTCCAGGCGACGACGACGAGAAAAGAGAGAGCGAGGATGGGCGGGCTGAAGCTGGCTGGCCGCTGTGTGTGGGCCACAAACGCCGCCAGACTCAGGAATCGATGCCTCCAGAACCCAGGCCCATGCCTCCCCGGAGTCTGGCCCCCAAAGCCGATGCGGACAAAGGTAGGGATTCGGTGCCCCAAAACTGTGTGGTGACGGACCGCGTGGTGACCTCGGAATCCCCAAGGACCTCACTGCGCGGTCCGTCACCGCACGGTTTTGGGACCCTGGAGGCCCCAGTCGCCCGAGACTTCCTCGGAGAGCGACCCGAGTCCCAAAGCCGTGCGGTGTTCCCAAATCCCCACTGACTCACCGTGCGGTGTGGTCACCACACGGTTCGGAAGGCTCCGGAAGGAGCGCGCCCGTGCTGCAGACGGCGGGCTGCCCCAGAGCTTCCGAGGCAGAGAGCGGAGGGTAAGGCACTGATTGCAAAGCAATGCCGCTGCGGAAACGGACAGGCCGGCAGGGCGTGCTACAAAGCCACCACTCTCCCATTCACGGTGCAGCCATCGTGTTCCCATAGGGAACGTAGAATAAGGAAAGACAGGGCTCTCCTGGCCGCCGCGAGCATCGGCCGCGGAGAGGATCCCCGACGCAGATCAATGAAACGGCCCGAAAATCAGAGCCGCTCCTGACCCCAGTGGTCTTTCCTGCAGCGTCTTGGCTGTATCCCACCCGCATCTGGCTTCTGATGAAGGTGTCCTGTGGGAGGAGGAGAACCTACCCCCTCCACTTTTCGGCCCCTTGTCCTTCGCAGGTGCTCGTCGGCGATGCGGCACCGCCTCGTGTCCTCGAAGGCCAGCGTCACCCTCAGCGGCGAGCGCTGTCTCGTCTTCTCCCTCTTCGTCCTCCTCCTGCTCATTCTCTCTTTCTCCCTTCCACCATGGCCTACCTGGCATTCCCCTTCTCCCAGTCCCCCGTCCTCCTGATCTTCACCTCATCCTCCTCTCCTTTTCCTGCCTGTCCCTCTATGCCAATCTCTGAAGGCGCGCCGCTGGATGCCCCAAAGAAGGACTCCCCCCCCCTCAGCCCCTTTCCCTGGTCCGTCGTCCCGGGACCCACCCCACCCGTCCCCCCTTTCCCGATCCGTCGTCCCGGAACACCCCCCTCCTTTCAATGGATGGGGTGTTTGAATCTCTCTCCCTCACCATGCGAAAATCGGACCCACCACCCCTCCCCCCCTTTCATCACGCCGCCCCCTAGCTCTGGAACCCTACCACCTAATCCTACTGTCCTAACTCTAACACCCTGACCCTGACACCCTAACCCTTCCACCCTAAGCCTATAACACCCTAACACGAGCACCCTGATCAACCCCAAACCCTAACACCCTAACCCTAGCACCCTAACTCGAACCCTGCTGCCCTGAGCCCTACGCCCTAACCCTAACACACTAATCCGAACACTATCGCCCTAACCCAAACACCCGAACCCTGACACCCTACCCCTACCTAGCCATAACACGCTGACCCTAATACCGATACCCTAACACTTTAATCCCAACCCTAACACCCAAACCCTAACACCCTGACCCTAACATCCTGACCAACCTTCCTAAGCCTAACACCCTCACCGTAACACCCTAAGCCAAACTCCATTATCCTAGCACACCCTAGCCCCAAGACCCTAAGCCTAACACCCTGACCCTAACATCCGGACCCTAAGCCCGAAGCTCTAACCCCTAAGCCATAAGCTCTAAGCCCTAGGTACCAAGCCTTAAGCCCTAAGCCCCAGCACCCTAATCCCAGGCATTGAACCCGAAGGCCTAAGCCCCAAGCTCTAAGACTTAAGCCCAAAGCCATAAGCCCAAAGGTTTAAGTCCTAGTCTCGGCTGGGTGTGTGTACTCCCCTACTCCCACGTGCATCTCAGGAGCCCACGAAAATGGCGACGGTTGCGCAATTCGCAGCCCCCCATGGAGCTGCGAGGTCCCGGCTAGGTGCGCCTTCTCCCCTACTCCGCCGTGCCTCCCAAGAGCCCACGAAAATGGCGACGGTTGCGCATTCCGCAGTCCCCCAGGTCTCGGCTGGGTGCACGCACTCACGCACTCCCCTGCTCCGCCGTGCCTCCCAGGAGCTCACGAAAGTGGCGACGGTTGCGCAATTCGCACCCCCCCAGGGAGCTGCGAGATCCCGGCTGGGTGTGCGTACTCCCCTGCTCCGCCGTGCCTCCCAGACGCCCACGAATGTGGCGACGGTTGCGCAGTCCGCAACCCCCCAGGGAGCTGCGAAATCTCGGCTGGGTGCGCGTACTCCGCTACTCCGCCGTGTTCCCAGGAACCCACGAAAGTAGCGGTGGCGACGGTTGCGCAATTCGCAATCCCCCATGGAGCTGCGAGGACTCTGCTGGTTTCGCGTGCTCCCCAACTCAGCAGTGCCCACCAGGAGCCCACGAAAGTGGCGACGGTTGCGCAGTCCGCAGCCACCCATGGAGCAGCGCAGGAGGAGGCAGAAGAAGGAGCAGGGATGAGAAGGAGAAGAAATGTCTGTCACAATGCTCTTCAAAACGAGAACCCAACACAAGAGGGTTGGGGACAACCATGCTACACGGTGCATAGCGGCTGCTGTTACCACCGCCTTCTCAAGCCTTAAGCCCTCGCGACCCGATGCAACTAATCTGAGATTCTGTACATCCCCGCGCAACACCCTTCAAGATGGGACTCCACGATCCGATGCAACAACATACCCTGCGACGCACCCAACACACTTGCATCACATCACCAGATGACTTGACCCACATTGTTCTGGATGGTGACAGTGTGACAACCGTCATTTGCTGCGCAAGCGACATGGGATGCCCGCCCGTTGCACGACTCACAGGACCCTCTGCCACCGCAGGAGGAGCTGGAGACTGGCGGAGCGCCACGAGAAGTCGAGGCGCTGAATCTCCGTAGGGCGTTACCCAATTGAACCCCCAGCAGCCCTTGAAAATGGCGGCACTTTCGCATTTCGCAGCCCCCCCAAACGGAAGGAGAGGTCCGATCTGAATCTGTGAAAGACGTCACCCCGCTGGACCCCCCAGTAGCAATCGTAAATGGCGACGGTTTCGCAGTTCGCAGCCCCCGAGGAATGGCGAAGTTTAATTTGAATCCCCGCATGACGTCACCCCGCTGAACCCCCAACAAATTGCTTAAACGTGGCGACAGCTCCGCAATTCTCAACCCCCCCAAAGATGGCGAGGTCGAATCCGACTCTGCGATGAAGCGTCACTCCGCTGGACCTCCCAACAGTCTTAAAACGTGTCGGCAATTCCGCAATTCGCACCCCCCTCCCCAAGGATGGCGAGGTCCAATCTGAGCCTTCGTGAGACATCACTCAGCTGGACCCCCCAACAACCCTCGAATGTGGCGTCAATTTTGCAATTCGCACCCCCCACAGATGGCGAGGTCTGATCTAAATCGGCGCAAGACGTCATTCCGCTGGACCACCCATCAACCCTCGAACGTGGCGACAATTTCGCAGTTCGCAACGCCCCCCAAGGATGACGGGGTCTCTGCGTATACAGTCACTCCGCTTGGCCCCCCAACTGCACTCGAAACTGGCAACAATTTGGTAATTCGCAGCCACCCATGGACGGCGAGGTCTATTCTGAGTCTGCGTACGGCGTCACCTCGCTGGACGCCCCACCAGCCCTCGAATGTGGCGACAACTTCGCGGTTCGCAGACACCACCCAAGGATTACGAGGTCTAATCTAAATCTGTGTAAGGTGCCATTCCGCTGAAGCCCTCGAACGTGGCGACAGTTTCGCAGTTCGCAACCACCCAAAGATGGCCATGTTTAGTTTAGATCTGCGCAAGCGTCACTCCGCTGGACCCCCCAGCAGCCCTCGAACGTGGCGACGCCAGCTCGCTGTTCGCACCCCCCCCCGAGAATGGCGAGGTCTACTGTAAGTCTGCGTAAGGCGTCACTCAGCTAGAGCCCGAATCCGCCTTCGAACGTGGCGACAGTTTTGCAGCCCGCAGTTCACTAGACATGGCGATGTCACATTCAGGTCCGCGTAAGGCGTCACTCCGCTGGACCCCCCCAACCGCCCCCGAGTGCGGCGGCAGTCTCGCAGTTTGCTGCCTCCCAGCGAGCCTCCAGGCAGCACGGCGAGGTAGGGGGCACGGACGCAAACAGGTAGGAGGGGACACGACGGGGGGGCGGGAGGAGGAGGTCGCGACCGCAGTGCTCTGTTCGAAGCGAGAACCGAACGCAGGGAGGTCGGGTAAGACTACCATGCGGTGCACATCTGCTGATCGTAACCTCGCCTTCTCATGCCTCCAGCCCTCACGATTCGAGGCACATTGAGCGCGCACCTGACCTGAACCTGTCTCGACGGAACTCCGTGCCGCTCACGATCCTCTGCAGCTTACCCTGCGACATACCCAACCCTTTCTACACATGTGGCGGCGATGCGCAATAACGATCACTACAACCAAACATGTTGAAAACCCGCAGGAGTCCACACAATTGGCGACTCTTGCACAATTCGCAACCCCCCATGGGAGCCGCGAGGTCCCGACTGCATGTGTTTACAACTCCACTCGGCTGGGCCTCCAAGAACCCAAGAGCATGGCGATAATTGCGCACTTCGCAACCACCTAAGGCGCCGCGAAGTCTCGGCACGGCGTGTTTCCAACTCCACCACGCTGGGCCGCTCACGAGCCCACGAACGTGGCAGCAATTGCGCAATTCGCAGCCACCCAGGAAGCCGCGAAGTCTCGGCTGGGTGTGTTTCCAACTCCACTCCGCTGGGGCGCTCACGAGCCCACGAACGTGGCAGCAATTGCGCACTTCGCAGCCACCCAGGGAGCCGCGAAGTGTCGGCTCGGTGTGTTTCCACGTCCACTCCGCTTGGCCTCTCAGGAGCCCACGAACGTGGCGACAATTGCGCACTTCGCAGCCCCCAGGGAGCCGCGATGTCTGGGCTGCGTGTGTTTACAACTGCACCGCGCTGAGCCTCCCAGGAACCCACGAACGTGGCGACAATTGCGGACTTCGCAACGTCCGCAGGGGAGCCGCGAAGTCTCGGCTGGGTGTGTTTACAACTCCACTCCGCTGAGCCTCCCGGGAGCCCACGAAACTGGCGTCAGCTTCACACTTCACAGTCCCCCATGGAGCTGCGAGGTCCCCCCTCCCAGAAGCACACGAGAGAGGCAGAGTCACAACGGGGCTGCAACGCAACCAGGACGAAGGAGAGAAGGGAGGAGAACGAGAAGGAAAATGAGACAGGATGCAGGAAGTAGGAGGCAGGAGGCAGGAGGGGGGGAGGAAGGATGAGTCTCGACCGCAGTGATCCATTCAAAACGAAATCCCAACACAGGCGGGTTAGGGAAGTTTGCTGCGATCCACATCTGCTGATCTGAACAGTGCCTTATCAAGCCTTCAACCTTTACGATCTGATGCAAATGGCATGTTTTCCTGCACACCGCCAGTGTACACCAGTCACGATCGACAACTGTGCCGCTCACGATCTTCTGGCCTAACACACAAAAGTTGCCCCCCCCGAACCTTCGGCCGGCCGCCGGCCAGCCTGGCGCCGAGGCCCCGCGGGAGCGCGGCGGCTGGTCGTCGTCGTCGTCGTCGTCGTCTGCGCCGCCGCTGCCGTCGTCTTCGTCGTCGTTGTCGTCATCGTAACATTCTTTTCCTTTTCCAACCCGCGGCCCAACGTCCCCTATAGCTTTCCCCAAGGTTTTTTTTCGTCCCGATCCGTTTTTGATGGTCCGAGGGTCCGATACCTAGCCCGACACGCCGAAATCGAGGAGAGACCGCCTGCTGACACACTCAGCTCGTCGGAAATCTGGGGCGTCGTCGTTGCGACGGCTTGCG